TAGGCCAATAGGTTCATCTTTTCTTCTAATGGCCAAAATGGAGTCTGCTACAGCCTCTATTAAGACATCTGCAAGTTCAGCATGAACTCTGGTATGTAGATGTTCTGGCCACATCTATAAGTCTGGCCATTTCTCTGCTCACCTTCACTTGTTCCAAAACCTTCAGGGCCTTTTCCTTTGCAGCTTCAAAATTTTTGCTGTTCAATCTAGGATGAAGACCCTCAGAAATCTAGAGGTCTGCCTGTTTTAGCAGCTCTCCAAAGATAAGGACATGGGAAGCAGTACCATCACCAGTTCTCATCTTGGGCTGTTGCTACTTTTGCTACTAAGGAGCCTGTTGGGTGAATTTGCATTTTATGAAGCAGTACATTGCTATCTTTAGTAAGTTCCAGAAATGAAAATCTTCATAGTAGTCATGGACCCCAAGTTGGTCCTTGGCACATCCTGTAGCCTCCAAGTTGTGCTGTGGACTGCCACCACCACCTGAGTATGGGCCACTTCGGCCTTGGGGTTCAGGGTCTTCATCCAAACACTGAATGTTAATATGTGCAAAGACCATATTGGGTAATGAGAATATAAACATGAGTGGTGTCCCCCTTTGAGGTCTGAATTTAAAAAATCAAGGGCTCCTTGAGGCTGTTTAAATGTAAATTAAAATTAAATAAAATGCAAAATCCAGTTCCTGGGTTGCACTAGTCATATTTTTTTTTTGGTACCGGGGATTGAACTCGGGACCTTGCACTTGCGAGGCAGGCACCAAAACCACTGAGCTAAATCCCTGGCCCCACTAGTCATATTTTAAAGAGCTGAAGAGCCATATGTGGCTACCATATTGGACAGCACAGGTTAGGACTTTGCAGCCTTGGGGATAGCACCAGTCTAAAAAGATATCCCACCCAGGCTGTGACATGTTCCAAGGTGATGCTGATGGTATTCTAATAGTTTCCAAGCTGTGAGCCAGCAAATCCTTGTGTACCAGGCCAGGCTGTCCTATCTGAGCCAGCAGGGACGTCCAAGTAGGATTCAGCCTCAGTCTGTTTGAAAGACGGCTCTTTAAAAAAAATAATTATGGCCAGGTGTGGTGATGCACACCTGTAATCCCAGCACTCAGGAGGCAGAGGCAGGAGGATTGCCACAAATTCGAGGCTAGCCTGGGCTACAGAATGAGTTCAGGGCCAGCCTGAACCACAAAGTGAGACCTTGTCTCAAAAAAAAAAAAATCTGATTATAAATATAATAGCTATACTTATAGGAAATCAGGGAAGTACTGAAAATTTCATTCATACAATGTAGCACCCTTGGTCTCATCTTCCAGAAATACCTACTAATTGAATTTTGTAGTTTTTCTCTTTTCTGGGGTTGTGGCACAGAATTATTCTTTCCACGTGTATCCTCTCCTCTGTGTATTTAAATTAACCAACCCTTGTCACCTGCCTCGAAAGCGCAAGGTCCTGAGTTCCATCCCTGGTACAAAAAAAATTAAGCAACCCTCTGCCCTCCTCCCCACTCATTCTTTCCCTCCCTCTCACAATGTTCTGACTTCCTCCACCACCTCTTCTTCTGCCCATCAGCCCCTTCCAGAACTCACCTTATTTCTCTAATATTCCCATCAGAAGACTGAAACCATCAGTGAAGGAACCTTCTGTGGCTCTAGCCTACCTCCTGATTCACTGCACAAAGAGAATGCGCTATCCCCGTGCCCCCAGTTCTTGAATGTGGGGTCTCTCATGAATGACATGACCTTGAAAATCAGAGCCAGCATGCAAGGATGCTAATTTAGGTTTTTTCCTCCTTCTCTTCCCCTTAGGCTTTTTGTGGCTCTTGTTTATTACGGCGTCTGCAGCAATGCTTGGAGGGCACACTGCTCTGACTTTGCTCCAGTATCTCCTCCTTCTGGCCCCAATTTTGTCATCTGTGATGAGATACGCATCTCTTCCTTTCTTCACGAACATTAAGAAATGGAGTTCACATGTCTAAGTCCTTCCTCATACCTCTGCAATAAGGTCCAAACTCCTTGGCAGGTCACTCAAGGTATTGGGCAACTAGTGTCCACTGACAGCGTGCCCTGAGCCCCTTCATACATCAGCTCCCATAACCCCCGCACACGGTGCTAAGCATCAGCCTCTTCCATTGACCCAAGCCTCAGGACACAACCTTCACCTTCCCATTCTACATCACCCCTTCCCTCAGCTTGGCAGGCCCTTCTCCAGTTGGAATCTCCTCTATCCTGCAAGACTCTTTTCCCAAGCCTTCATCGGAACTGACCCCTTGCCCCACTGTGCTGTCATATCCCCTGTTGGTATCTCTCCTCTGGCCCTGATGACTGCCCTGCAGGTGAGTTGATTTTTCATCTACTGATGTGTTTCTTCCATCAAGTTGAAATCTCCGTGAGGGTACAGATATGAGTGGTACCATATTAAGCACTGGGGACAGAAGTGTTGAGTATGCCCTCCCTTGGCACTATTTGATTCATACAGTGTGGCACTGGGTGCCAAGAATAGGGCACATGGGGCCAGCCCAGCCAGGACCCGTGCCCTCACTCCTAGACTCCATGTGTTCCTGGCAGGAATACAACTCCCTCATTCTCTGTCTTGCTCCTCTCTCTGAGGTCTGCCTGACTTTACAGTTTTTCCTGGAAGTGTTCATTTGTACAGTATGTAGAGCAGTCTCCCTTTATCCATGGTTTCACTTTCCATGATTTCAGTTCCCAAAGGTCAAACATGGTTCAAAAAATATTAAATGGGAAATTACAGAAATAAACAATTCCTAAATTTTAAATGACTTTTATATGTAGAATTGTTCTATTACTTATCATTTAGTTATTGTTAATCTCTCACTGTGCCTAACTTATCAATTAAAGTCTACCACAGACATGTATGCACAGGAGAAACAAAGTACACACAGGATTGAGTACTCTCCATGGCTTCAGGCATCCTGTGGGGGTGTTGGAATATATCACCTACTAACCAGTAATTTTTTCCCTGTAAATAACTTCCTCTTCTTCTGAATTCTACCTACCACATTCACATTGCTTACTTTTTGTGTATATGTGTGTTACTAGGGCTTAAATCCAAGGCCTTTGTACTGAGCTACATCTTCAGCCCCTGTTATATTTTTATTTTGAGACAGTTTTGCTAAGTTTCTAAATTGCCTAAGATAGGCTTGAACTTGGGATCCTCTTGCCTCAGCCTCTCAGAGTGCTGGATTATAGGCACGTGCCATACTTCCACCTCACACTTCCTGCTTAAAAAGGATCATGAACAAAGGAAGGGTGTGTAAATGACATTTTAAAATCCATTCGAGTTGCTTCACCTGTTGTTTAACTTATCTTTTAGTCATACTTGTCAAAGAGAAATATAAAATACCTGCACAGTCACATTTTATACAGTCTGTGAAAGTGGCTTATGTTACCTGCATGTTTATATGGTTATGGGTGTGTGTGTACCATAAGTAATAATAAAGTTACATTTGTTGAGTATTTTGAGCACTATGCTATGCACATTATTCCTATGACCTCATTTAATCTCCCCGGAACTCAATGAAATAAATCCCGTTTCCATTCCTACTTCACAGGATGAAAATGAGGCACAGAAAGTCTAAGCCATTCGCCAGAGATCACCCAGGCCTGTGCCGGGGCCCAACTGACTATATTATGTTTATTATCTCTAGTATAAGATCACTATTATATTTAAACTAGTACTCAGTATCTTCTATAGTTCCCTTGTTCTATTTCCTAAAGCCAAAGTTAAACATTATTTTGATGACTCAAGGCTTGAACCACCAAAAATTTACATTGCACCCTCCAAGACAAGGTTGTGTAGTCTTCAGAGTGCTCTGGGACAGACCAGAGGGACGTTAGGGACTCCAGTGATTCAGGCACAGCACAGGGAAGGTAATGAGACCACACAAGCACAGCTGGGGGCAGCTGAGGCCACTGAAGCTGAAAACAAGCGTTGCTCTTTGGCCAGTTCCAAGTGTTCCTGTCCTTTGGACACACAGCACGTGGCAGGCCCTCCCAGCCTGAGTCACAGCTAATGGTGCCTGTGAAGCCACAGTCTATACCTGGTCTGAGAGACACTGGAGGACCTGGTCTTGTAGCCCTACATAAGGGGAAAGTTACTCACTCATATCCTAAACATGCCCCAAATACTTCCTATATTTATTATATGGCAGGCCTGGAGACACAATGCTAATAGAGAAAGCCACAGTACCTGCCCTTGTGGGGACAAAGTCTGGTTGCTGAAATAAATATTAACCCAATTCTCAGAATATCAGTTGCTGAATTACAGGTGGGTCCTGGGCAACAGGCAGTGGTGCTTGGAAAGTTCTTCAGGGGGGCCAGTCAGGGAGGGCTTTCATGAGGGGGTGGCTGGAGCCTGAGATCTGCAGGGTGAGCAGGTTCCCTTGGGGAAGAGGGAAGGACACACATTCCAGGCCGGTGGGAATGGAGGGACTAAGAGGGGATGGGGTGACTCATGGAAACAGGGAGAGCACACAGCACCTAAAGGAGGCTCGAGGCCGGATGTGGAGGACAGACTATAGATATTAAGGAATTTAGGTGCTTTGGCCTTGACCTGGAGATCAGTTGGAAGCATCTTGAGGGTTTTAGGAAAGAGTGACATCACCACATTGGAGTTTTCAAGACTCCTCTGGCCTTGGGTGGATTCTACCAGGGTCTGAGCAGCATGGAAAGAAGCTGGCAGGACCTTGGAGATGATGTGCTGCCCCTTGCAGGAGCCTCTGACCTCTCGGGTATTGCATTCTGTAAATTCAAATCTTGCAGCAAGGTGTGACAGGCCCTGCCCATGCTGGAGCAGAGGTAAGTATTGCTCCTGCTGCTGAATTTAGAGGAGGGTTGGGCTACAGCTACAGATGTGGAGGGCCTACCGTTACCTGGCTCTTCAGGGCACCTGCACATGGTTTATCCAGTGACTCACCAAGTGCTGCAAGATTTCAACCTGTGTCACCCAGGTGTAATCACTGGACACAGCCAGCCTTACCTGGTCAGTCAGCGGTATCCCCTTTGCCATCTTCACTCTATTCTCCTCTGGATGGTAGTCATCGGCATCATAGAATTTCCAGCCCAGCTTCAGGAACAAAGGAAATGGCGTCTGAGACAAACAGTATGGCTCTTATGACAGCCACTACGGAGGAGTTACCAACAGGTGCAGAAACAATCCCACCACCCTCTTCCCTGTCACCCGCCCAAGGATATCTCCATCCCCAGAGACAAGAGGAAGAGCTCTGTGAAGCCGTTTCACAACCTCCACTCCTGGGCGGAGGTAACCCCACTTTCCATCTGTCACTATTTGTAATCACCAAGGAGAAAACCAAGTTGCCCCAGTGGTTTCAAGTGAGCAGAAGTGTGTGTACAAACCGTTCCACACCAGAAGAGAAGTAACGAGACACAACATAGCAGGATTTACACTGGGGAGGCTAAGAATGGCTACCTCAGAGGCCAGCACAGCACCCACGGTCGACCTGTGGACAGGACACAAATGTCACAATCATTGCCCTTGCCAATGTATGTGGTGCTTCTTTCCTCGCTAGGATGCCTGGGAAGCAGATGGCTGCCCCAGCCGGGGTTACAATGCTACCCTGGGTGACCTAAAGCCATGACGCCCTCAAACCTGGCCAGCTTGGAGACCAGCCTTTGCTATTCTCTAGGAAAATCAACAGAGATATAATTAGCCAGTCACTTCTATTTCTTTTCTAAAAGTCAATATATCAGATATCATTACCCTGAGTAATTGTGTTATGCTTCCTGTTGTATAATGTTTACCCTTTGAGAAAAAATAAATAAAATGATAAAATTATGATGAGGATGTTAGAAAGGGTGTCTGACTGGGGGGGATTTAATCTCTAGCAGTATTCATGCAAAGTTTAGAGGACTCAATAGCATCAAAGCATTGTTTAGGTTTAAGAGATACACTCTTAATAAAGGGCTTGGGTCGATGACTCGATTGACTAGAACTTGCTAACATGAGAGCCCAGGGTCCTCTGCACAGTGTCCTCATGACAGTCTGCTTGTGCCAGTGGGAAGGGCTTGGGCCAGGGTCTCAGAGTGGGGGATCTGGGCTGCAGTCACTGTTTTGTTACTAAATGATTTTGTGTTCTTGGGCAAGCGGCCTGATCCTCTAGTCCTCTACTGTCTTAAGGGGAACTTAGCTACATAATTTATCCATTCACTTATATTTCCTTCAGCAGCTCATCTTTTTTTTTTTTTTTTTGGTATTGGGGTTCAAACTTGGGACCTTGCACTTGCAAGGCAGGCACCAGAACCACTGAGCTAAATCCCCGGCCCTCAGCAGCAGATCTTTATTGAGTGGCCTCTGGTTCCCAAGACATAATGTTGTGACCACACAGATGTGGTCTCAGCCATCCTGAGGCTCAGTCTAGCGCCATGGGGTAGGGATACAGTCTGACAGACAACGATACAATTTCTAGAGTGTTGCCCAAACACTAGTCACTGAAATCTCATGTTCAGAATTTTTATTGTCTCCTTACACCATTTCATCACGTCCTTTCTCTTTAGTTTTGCCCACCACCCCTGTAATTATTCACTTGATGTTTTTATTTAATTACTTCACTTTTAAAAATTAAATAAATGGGTTAAAGAAAATCTTTTTCCTTCCATTATAGAAGTATCACTGCTTGCCTTAAAGAGAATGTAACAAAAAACGATGTATAGAATAAGAACAAAATAATGTGATTAAATTCTAGCTGGATACTGTTATGTAACACTTCGGTCTCGTATCTCTTTTGTTAAAAAAGTACCAGAGAGGTGCTGAAGATACATTTGTACCAAACTGGAGACCTGCTCCTTGGTGTAGCCAAAGAGCCAGAAGTTCCCTGGAACCTCTCCCATTGTGTTCACTCTGGTGAAGGGATCATAGGTGACATGCTGCAGCTTAGTCCGGAATCACTGACCCAGGTGAAGTACGTGGCTGGTGAAGACTCAGCTGTGCACAAGGCCCAGTTAGATTAACTATGAATTCCACTGATAATCCAAAAGAAAAGCTAAGCTAAACAGGTAGGAGAGAGGCGGAAAAGAAAAAGCCAAGCCTGCCGCTCCCTTCAAACCTCCTGAACCAGAGAACATCTGGACTTCTGAATATGCACCAGGGAGCCCAGCAGGAACAAGATGCAGGTTGGCTCACCAGAAACTGGTCAGATCTAAGTATTACAAACCAATGCAGGTATCTCCCAGTGGGTTGGTCTAAATCAGGAGCAAAGAACTTTAAAAAATAGTAGGCTACTGGAGTAGAAGGCAGGGATACAGAATGAAGAGTTTAAAAATGTTTAAGTTCGTTCCACTAGAAATAGAGGGTAGTTTCACTACACTGTTTAAAAAATGCTGGACACTGTGGTGCACACCTGTGTTCTCAGCACCAAGAGAGGCTGAGGCAGGAGATTGCAAGTCCAAGTCATGCCTGGGCAATTCAGAGCGGCCTAGTCTCAAAATTAAAAAATAAAAAGGGGTGGGAATATAGGTCAGTGGTATAGCACCCCTGGGTTCTATCCTCAGTACTGAAACAGATTTTAAAATATGAAGAAAACTGAGTTCCTGAGCTGCTTCCTATGACCCAAGACAACCGTTGGACTGGTGCTGGGACTTCCCTTGTGTCATGGCGCCCAAGCACCAGTCTTTCTTTGATCAGCCCTCTGACCAAGAAGCCCAGATAACCTCCTGCCCCCAAATCCATGGATGCATCAGCCTTGCTGGGCGTGCACAAGGGAGAAAAAGAACAAGAAGCAACTGAACATAGTGACGAAGTACAAAACGAAACAGACTTAATGAACAAGCCAGTGAGGATACTGAAAGTAGAACAGCAATATAACAAACTCCACCAATCACTTTTTCAGAAGAGATCAGAATTGATTTTCAAAATCCCCAACATTTGTTAACCATCCACAAGTGTCTGGACTGCCTGAGGAAGAAGAGGGAGAGGCAGCATTATCTGACCACAGTTGAAGTGACAGAATTTGAAGATATAAAATCAGGTTACAGAATAATTTTAATTTTGACAGAAATCCTTACTTTGAAAATAAAATTCTCTCCAAAGAATTTCATCTGAACGAGAGTGGTAATTTCCACTGATATCAAATGGATATCCGGAAAGGACTTGACCAAATTCAAGACAAACACAGAATAAAGCCAGTAGGAAGAGGCAGCGTGAAGAACCTGAGAGCTTCTTTTCCTGGTTTCCTGACCATTCCAATGCAGTGCAGCTGAGTCAGAAGAGGTCCCTGAAGATGACAGTAGGCCAGGCCCATTGCAGTGCTACCGGTTCCTCACATGGACCATGAGGAGGGGAAGGAAAAGATGACAACGGAGGACTGGAAGATACTGATGAAGAGGGGGATGAGGACAAAGGTGAAGGTAATGACGATGATGAAGGGGAAGACAGGGATCTAGAGGGTGAAGGAGACAACAAACTGAATACTGATGGATTCCAATCTTTTTTTCTTTCTTTCTTTTTTTAAAATTTTCTCCAATCCCTGGGAGCAAGTTGCAGTCTTTTTCCCCTTTCTTGTGCTCAGTCGCTCTTTTCTTGAGATCTCTTTTCTCAAACACTATGGTTCTTGACTTATTCTGTGGGGAGAAACCGTGAGCAGAATACAATGGACAAGAATCTCTACAACCTTCTGTTTACTTTTATCCCTTCCTGTCTTAACACAAACTCTATGGAATCATCACCACTGTGCTCTGCAGAGGGTAGTGGGGAACCTTTGTGCTCCCTTCGCTCTGCTGGAAGCTGGAGGGTGCGAGGCCCCTATGTAGTAGTACATAGAAACCTAGCGTTTTCCCTCCTTTCTCTGTATATTGGGCTGATAGCTTACACTGTGTCTTTGTGTGAATATGGACAGTTAGCATTTACCAACACGTACCTGTCTACTTGTTTAAAAAAAGAAAAATAACTATTAAAAAATGGAGCATAGAAGGTCAGTAAAGGGTGGGATTGAGATGTTTGGGTGGGTTACGTGGGCACTGTGACAACATGGCTTCTCCTTTGACATTGTTATGTTTAACAGACATCCTTGCAGTTTAAGATGACATTTTTAAAGTAAAATTCTCTTCTAATGAAAAAAATTTTTTAAAAATGAAAACTAACACTGCTCATGTTCAAATAGCTCATTTTCAAAGTCAACAGATATTTGCTGAGTACCTCCTACATGCAGAACGGTCTGGATACAGTATTCGTGAACAAAGAGAAATGGGTTTCTTCTGTTCACGTTGGGGAGGGGAAGCAGTGGACAGTACTGTACTCTGTAAACAGGTAAACTTACTACTGAACATCATTTCACTTCAACAGTGCTTTAAATATGGCCTTCTGTTTTATCATTCTCCTAAGCTATTAGGCTGTGGCAATTCTTTTTCCAAATGTCATGATATATAATTAAAAATCCTGTGGGGTTCAAACAGGGAGTCACAAAGTCACCATAGAACTCAGTATTGCCACATCCTATGATTCACATAATCAATTCTCAGTCGTTCTATTACTTAGTCAGCAACATCTGATGGATCTTTGACCTCTAATCACAGGCAAGGCCCAGGGTTCAGTTCACAGCTAGCTTCTGTATCTACCCTCACTCTTGGTGATCTCCACGTGTTATGGCTTTAAAAACATCCACACATCGTGTTTTCACCTGAAGTTCTTCCCAATTCCAGACTTGGATATCTAACTATTCCTTGACAAATCCACTTGGACACCTGACAGGCCCATCTGACTCACCACATCTGACACTGAGTTCCTGAGACTTCTTTCCCAAACCTGTTCCGTCTCCTGTTTCCCACGCTCAGACTGTAGCAACTCCCTTCTTGCTGTTACCCAGGCCTAAAATCTTGACTCATACTCAACTTCTCTCTTGCGCTCATACTCCACATCCAATCTACAAACACATCATTTTGACTCCTAAATAACTCCAGGGTACAATCACATCTTTTCACCCACAGTGACCCTCTCATCTCACAGACATCTTTTCCCACCTTGCTGAAACACAATGGGTCCCTTGCTGTTCCCTTTGGCTTTCCCCAGCTAGCCTACCCCAACTATATGTGAGGGCATATCCCTCACTTTCTGATTAGTCTTCCTTCAGTGCACTTCCTCCAGGAGCTTTCCCTGCTCCTCTTAGCCTCAGTAATTCTTCCCTAGAGCACCTGTCAGCAGCTCTCTATTCTATATTCTCCACATGCCATACAGGAATGTTAACTCTTTGGAGACATGGATTCCGTCTGCTCTGTTCATTGTATGATGATGACATACAGTAAGGGTCGAGCTCAGTGAACCATTACTGAACACATGAATATCAGAAGCAGTGAACAACATGGTTTAGACCTTTCTCGTCTAATCAGGGATTACAGGGGTGCATCAGTTACCAACTTCACACAGCTAGGCATCATTAGAACCAGCTCTCACATCACATCATGGCAACAGGTCCACATTCCCCAGTTTCTTCATTCATGCAATAGCTAGCCAGGGATTTTGGTGTTCCCTGCTTTGTTTTATTTGAAGTGCTGGGTATCCAACCCAGAGTGTGTTAGGCAAGAGCTCTGACACGGAGCTACACCCCAGGTCTGGGCTCTATGTTTTATTTCAACTTAAGATTTCCTGTCTTTGAGGATAAAATCACAGTACTTTTGGAAGGCTAAAGCTATCTTCCTGGAGAGTCTTTAATAGAGCTCTGGTCCCACAAGCACTTCCTGATTCAGCTAATCTGAGAAGGGCCATATAGGGTTCTATTTTAGCAGACTGTCTTTTACTGCCTGTGGCTGGATCCTGCAGCAGCTGTTTTTGGATAAGGGGGCACGGTCAGATTCTGGTCCAGTTAGGAAGTCAAAGGCTAACTCTAGTCCCCAAGCTGGCCAGATCCCGCTGGGCCGCACCTGCAAATTTACCAGAGTCCTTGCCCTCCTTTCCGACCCTCAGCAGCCGCCCTCCCTCCACGTGAACACTGTTCCCTTCCAGTTCAAAACCTGTCTCTAACCACTCACGGACTCACGCGCGGACCGCGAAGGCCAGTCCGAGTCTGCAGGCCCAGACACCGGGCGCTGGCGCCCGCTTCCCCGCCCAGGCCGGGTCGGGGCGAGCAGGTGCCCGGGGCCTCGGGTTCCCCCTCGGGAAGGGCGAGGTGTCCCCAGGCCTCCGTCCCCCCCACTTCGAGTCCCAGACTTACTTTCCCGCGCCGCTCACGCCCATCACTAGCAGCGCCCTGAGCACCGCCATACTCCCACCAGCTCCGCCCGGCGCCTTGTGGGGCGTAAGTCCCGCCTCCCGCGCCTGCGGTGCAGTCCGCCCGCCGAGCACCGCCCACTCGGAACAGAGCCACGCCCATCCGGAACCAAATCCCCGCCCCGCCCCGAATCCCCGTTTCATCGCCCGCGCTCCCCTACCCGGGTGGGGCGCGCGTCCTCCGTGGTCTCCTCGTTCCCCGAGACAGGAGGGATTCCCCAACCTGCGCCTGCTGCCGGCCCCGCTCCCTGGCCATCTAGAGCCTCCTGCCCTTCCTCCGCCCAGTCATTCATTTATTAAAATGTGCTTGCAAAACACCAAACAAACAAAATTAATTCCCACTTTCCCACACTAAGAGACCATGAGCACCACTTCCCCAAACGCTCCATGGGGATGTATAATACCCACATTTATTTTTTAAGAGTATTTCTATTGATGAATTATTAATTTTATGAGTTTTATTATATTAAACTATGTGTACTTAACAGGAAAATAAAATATCAATAAAATATTAAATTTTTAATATGTAATGAGTATGTAGAATAAACATCATGTTTTCAACATCAATTGTTTACGTGTTTACAAGATCTAAAAAAATAACAGCAGAAATAAACTCTTATGTGAATCACAATGAAAATAAAAACAAAACTCCACAAAAGAAATAATCTTTGCTTCAGTTATCACACCTAAGAGAATCTTCACACATGACAACAGTACATTCTAACACAAGTCTCGCTCACACTGACAGTATGTGTGCTTAGCTTTCTTTTTCTGTTTGGCAGGCCATACTTCTTGCCTCTCTTGTCAGGAGCTGCCTATTATGTTATACAGTGTGTACTTACCAGGAAAATGAAATATCAATAAAATAAAAGGTCAAATATGTAATGAATGTGTAGAATAAACAACATTTTCTACATCAGCTGTTTGTTTACTATATCTAAAAAATAACAACAGAAATGAATTCCTAAGTGAACTACAATGAAATTACAAATAAAACTCTACCATAAAAATAATCTTTACTTCAATTATCACACATAAGGCAGTGTTCACACTTGAAAACAGCATGTTCTATACACAAATATTGCTTACACTGATAGCTCTTGTGTTTTGTTTTCCTGTCTTCTTTGGTAGGACACACTTGACATCTTGCTGGTCTTCCTGTTTTTTTTAGGAGGTTCTTGTGATGTTTCACCTGTCTTCTCCAAAATTCTTTTACAGAATTCTTTGGGCAGATATATACTGTTCTTCCTCTGTTGTAATTGATCAATTATTAATTCCAGTCCCAGGTTCATTTGTGTTGAGGGTTCACTATCAGTCTTTTTTGTTTGTTTGTTTTGAGAAAGAGCCCACGATTACCTTGAACTCACTATGTTCAGAGGCTGACCTTGAACTCACAGGATCTACCAGCCTCAGCCTCCCAAGTGCTAAGATTCCAGGCATGTACCACAACAACCGGCTTCACTATCAATCTTTTTTTTAAAAAACTTTTTAACTTTTATTTTCTTGGTACATTTTAGGTATACAATATATAGTGACATTGATCATTGGAAATTCGCACTTTTATATAATCTCTCTTGGTTCTTATTTTTTCCCCATTCCCCTGCCCTCCCTTCAACCCCTCTTTTTTCCCTATTTACAAAGACTTTGTTTCCATTTTCTCATATTAATTCCATTCCCTTCTTTCCTTTCCCCTATGCCTCCCACTTCCCCTTTGCCCCTTTTCTTCCTATTTCACATTATCTATTATACCTTTTA